GGGGGATGAATTACTATATGGGGGATTAATTACTATGCTTACTATGGGGGAATATTACTATACTTACTATGGATGACACATACACATCATTCATCTACTCTTGGTCCGGCCCCCGGGTCCAATATATGAACCCATTGCGGCCCTCAAGTCAAAAAGTTTGCCCACCCCTGCACTAGAGCCAGGTGAGCTAAGGGCATGTAGATACAAAGCACAAATTCGGAAAGACCACTTTGCAACTTCAACTGAAGAATTGAAGAATGTAGTCTTCCTGAATTTGTGCTTTGTATTTGCATGCCCTTAGCTCACCTGGCTCTAGTGTGTATGTTTTCATACAACCTTTAATAAAGTGTCAAAGATAATGTGCTTGCGCCCTTTCTTTTTGTGTTTTGTACACACTGTTTATTGTCTGATACCATGGTGAGGGGTTGGAACCTCTGTAATTTTTTATGCTATCTTGCTGTCTCTGTCCTTATTGCAGATATTTCCCTTTATTATCAGTCCAGAAAACTCAAGAGGAAGCCGCACCAAAGGAAATCCAACCTTTGACAGCTGACACCCAACACAGGAGTACATTGGGAGATTTTCTTTTTTAATCAAATAAAGTGAGCCAGTTCTGGTGATAACTGGCACTAGGAGACAAAATGAAAGTATCCCCCAGATGGGGACACAGCAATAATAGCTGTGAAATGTCAGGGTCCCCTTTACAGGTACAGGCCTAGGTTTCCATGTTTACTATTGTAATCCAACGTTGCACAAGCAGTACTACAACTAAGAAATAAGCAGAATTTTGACCGGTTTGCAACACTAAGTTCACCCCCTGGTATTTGGGAGGATACAGCACGGCTCTTGCCTGGTCAGGGAGGAAAATAAACTCAGAAACATACTGGGGCTCCACGAACCTTCAACTGGTTCCCTGTTCACACTTGCACTGTAGAAAACAGCTAGGGTTAAATAGTTCATTTGTCTTCACTGTTGTCAGCCAGGAGGGTTAGTATGACAGTGACAGCTGTCACCTGTTCAGAGGACTCACGCAACATCTGAGTCTGCAGCCTGTCCTTGTCAACTACTGTACAGTCCCAGAACCATGCGGTCAGCTACAGCAAGGAGATCCTCACACTAAAATATTCTAGTATTGTAAGCACTCCGTTTCATATCACAAATATCTAACATAGCCTGAAAAAAACTTTTAAGGCTCATATTTAATCCCTGTTTTTGTCAAACATCTATGCCAAAGGGCTGTTATAGTAAATGGCCAAAAAACAGACTAACCTCCCAATGAAAGCAAATAAAATCTTAATGTAGAGAGAGTAGAATGCCAAAAAGAGGAATTAATAAGATGTCCATAAGTAAGTTATTCTTTTGGAGGTAGTGCTGGCTACTAATCAACAAAAAAAAAATAACTTTTTTCTGAATTTCTCATCGACACTCCTTTACATTTCACTTTCTGCCCAAGGTCCCAAAACAGGGAGAGAGTGCCTGTGGTTTAGAAACAGCCTGTTTACAACATGGAGTCCTTGAGATCCAATACCTCATTTCTACATCAATAGCTCAAAGAGATGCAGTGCCACTTCTGACCCGACTTGTACATATAGTAGAAAGGGGAAAAGAGTCTACCTTTTCTTTTTTGTTTTAAAATAAAATCTAAACTCCGTCCTGCTCTAGCTGTCCATAAAACCAAAAACATATAACAAAATATTTTGTAGGATTTGACAAACACAACTGACAATTGTAGCCTCACTACCAAAATGATAACTGAGGATGGACAAGAAGAGAAGAAATTGGTCAAAATAATTTCTCAACTTTCCTGCAGAAGATGCTTTTAACAGTCTTCATCGGTACAAATTTTTTTTTTAGGCAGTCTCTCTCAACCTGTTTAACCCTTAAAATAATTTTCAGGTCTCAGTAAACCCCTCCTAAAATAATTTTACTGGGGGCCATTGGGGAAATTTCCCTTACATTGATAATCAGTGGGAAGAATACCCTCTTACAGTTACCCTTACAGACAGCTAAAAAAAAGACATTGATACCATTCTACTGACTCTGCCAAGTGAAATTAGACTTGGAAATATTAAGGAGCACCAGGTGGAAGGTCAATCTGCCACAGCTCCAGGAACCCCAAGCAACCTCTGATGGAACCCTAGGGGTCCACAGAACCCTGGTTGAGAACAGGGGCGGACTGACAACTCACGGGGCCCTCAGGCAATAGGGGATCATGGGGCCCCTGTGTCCTTGCCCATTTAAAAGAAAAGCCAATAAAAAAGGTACCAGGGGCATCTCATGGGGCCCCTACTGACCTCGGGCAGTGCCCGAGTTTCCAAATGGTCAGTCCGCCCCTGGTTGAGAAGGACTAGTTTAGAGTATGAGCCAGTTACAGTCTATACCAGCCTCTCTCAACCTCTTTAGCATGGGGGAACCCTTAAAAATAACTTTCTGGTCTCAGGGAACCCCAGCTAAAATTTGCTATATTTACATCAGTATAATAATGTGATGTTCACTGGAAGAAATGTTTCTTATACTTGCCATTGGAAAAATCCCCCAGATAGTAAAAAAAAATCATTGTCAGCAATTACTTATTTGAGAAGTAGAAACTGCTCATTTCTCTAGGAATCCATAACAATCTCTGGAGGAACCATGGTTGAGAAAGGCCTATCTATACTGTTGCGTAGTTTAGTGTCCAAAATGTAAGAGATCAGAAAAAGTGGTCGGTCGCAGTATATGAATAATGTGAAGATATAAAATCTTTGTAAAGTTGAAAAAATAATTATGCAGCGATTGGCCATCCATCTCTCATTGCTGTCCACCTCCTAGTAACCCTCTACGATGTGTATTCTGCCTCTCCACTCTCTACTCCATTAGTAAAAACTGAGAACGGTCTTCCCATGTGCACTGACATCATAGTTTTGTACCCTGTTGTTTTGGTGATTCAGTTGTTTTCACTAAAACGATTCAACAATGTTTAGTGCAAACCATGTTGATTTACTAACAGTTATCATAAATGTTACATGCTCATGTTTCGATACCAAGATTATTACTATTATACAGAATTTATATAGCACCAGGGGCGGACTGACCATTTGGAAACTCGGGCACTGCCCAGGTCAGTAGGGGGCCCCATGAGATGCCCCTGATACCTTTTTCATAGGCTTTTTTCAGTTTGGGCAAGGACACAGGGGCCCCATAATTCCTATTGCCCGGGGGCCCCATGAGATGCCCCTGGTACCTTTTTCATAGGCTTTTTTGAGTTTGGGCAAGGACACAGGGGCCCCATAATTCCTATTGCCCGGGGGCCCCATGAGTTGTCAGCACCAATAGTTTACACAGCGCTTTACATGCCAGGATATTTAACAATAAACTAGGTAAACAATTAAGAAAAGGAAATCATTATTGAGGAAGCCGGGAGGCTGTGATTGCTGACCTCATCCTCAGAAATAGCTGAAGCTGATGACAGCCAGGAAACAAGTATTTTCAAAGTCACTGAATTAGAAGTATGCAGATCAGAACTTTTGGCTTCACTCTTCTGATCTATATGGTTGTTTTTGTCATTGCTGAAAAAGAAATGAACGCCCAGACAAAGGTACAGGTTTCCTTTAATTCAACCCTACTGCAAGCATTTATCATAGAGAACCTTGTAAAACTTGCCAACTTCAAAGTCTGAAAATCCAGGATTTATCAAGATTGAGAATGTTTCCGACTAAAAAATAAGTGCCTTTGAGACATTTTTAAAATACAAAGAAATGCTTTTGATTTACAGACAGGTACAAAAAGAGTGGCAGTTTTGCTGTGACATGTGGTTCCACAGCAGTTTCAATTATTAGCTGGCTGGGTGGTCTGGGAATGTGAAAGTTTCCAGGCAACTGGAGACACAAAGCTTGATTTTAAATCCACGCTAGGACTTGTGGTTCTCCAGGGGCTAGAAGGAGGTTACTCATACAGGTAGTTAATAGGATCTTACCTTTCTCCAGGGGAGAGCTTTATGATCAGTTGTGTTGAGGATGAGACAGTCCCAGTAATTCCTGGCTGAGTCCTTCTCTTGCTGTGCCAGACTTGGGATATTATTAAGCTGCACCCTGGCTTGTCCTTTGTCACCCTGAGCTGAGCAGATCCCCCTCTACTAGTCCACACTGAGCTGCTCCTTGTGTGCTGCTGCAGAGCTGTCCTTCTCCTGGTCTGCTGCTCTCATCAGACTGGATGCCATTTGGCTGCACTTACTCCCAGCCTGCAAGTTTCCATAAAAGTCCTGCTGTCAGGTCATCTACCGCATTCCAGACAATCCAAAAGCAGCTCTCAGCTGTTCACCACTCACACATATACATACATACAGCCTTGACTCTTCTCATTGTGACCTCCTGCATGGGAAACCACTTCATTCCTGGGCAATGAATGAGCACAGGGTGATAGAAGTCATGGCACAGAAGGTGTTAACCTTGGAAGCAGGATCTGTTCTCCCATCATCCAGGCATGATGTCTCTTGGATCCCTACCTGGACTCTCCCCCCTCCTTCGAGAAAAGGAAGAAGCGGATAACTTTTTCTAAGTTTTCCAAAACTTTGCAAAGCTTTTTGCTTCCCCAAGACAAGCTTCTGATTCAAAACAAGTGGAGCCTCTAGTCTGCAAAATAGAAACTGAAAGTTAAAGTATACCTAAAAGCAAAACTTGTTTTATAGTTCTGGATAGAAAGAAATGAGATTAGAACCCCTGTCAGATTTTTATTGCTGTCTGTGTTCCTGTGAGGGAGATTCGCCCTCTCTGTTTGTCCTGGTGACCGTAATTACTGAAAGTGAAAGTGAACGTACGAGGCAAATACAACATTTTGGGTTGTCACCAGAACAGGCATTGAGAAGAAATCTTCCAGTGGGGACACTAGTTCTGGTGGCAATCTGGGATTCCCTCATTTTAGAGTGATTTCCTCTTTCTGTTGTAGCTATAGAAGTTATAACCCTCCCTTACTCAAAATTTTTTTTTATTAAATTGACTTTAGTTCTACTTGAAAGTGTTACTAAACCCAGGACCCTGCATTCACTATATATGGTCTCCCAGGACCCTGCCTTCACTATATCTGCTCTCCCAAGACCCTGCATTCACTATACCTGTTCTTCCCGGACCCTGTATTCACTATATCCGCTCTCGCTGGACCCTGCATTCACTATATCTGGTCTCCCCGGACCCCGCATTCACGATATCTGGTCTCCCTGGACCCTGCATTCACTATATCTGGTCTCCCCGGACCCTGCATTCACTATATCTGGTCTCCCAGGACCCTGCATTCACTATATCTGGTGTCGCCGGACCCTGCATTCACGATATCTGGTCTCCCCGGACCCTGCATTCACTATATCTGGTCTCCCCGGACCGTGCATTCACTATATCTGGTCTCCCAGGACCCTGCATTCCCTATATCTGGTCTCCCCGGACCGTGCATTCACTATATCTGGTCTCCCCGGACCCTGCATTCACTATACCTGGTCTCCCACAGTACACACAACATGAAGTATAAACTGCTAATTACCTTTTCTCATCAGCAGTATATAGCAGTCGTGTGACTTCTATCAGTGTCCGACTAAGCACTGGTTAAATCTTGTAGGAGGAGTTTTCATTCTCCTTACTGTCCTATGAGGCTGCATGACCCCTGACCCTCTATCTGGACAGTGCCGATTGGCCCTGCGCCGATTACGTGCACCCTCCCAAAAAAAAAACAAAAAAAAAACTCTCTAGCAATACACATAAAACTGAGCATGTGCAGAGTGTCCCCTAGGTCTCTGTACTATCAGCAGATGGATTGGGGACTGTGGAAGAAGGGGAGGATCAGAGGAGACACAATGCAAAGGATTAACCCCTTAGGTTCCACAGTGAGTATAACAAGCATGCTTTACTGCATATACAGACTGCTTTTGTGGTTTTGGGTTTGGTAACACTTTAACTAAATGCTCCCGTTTGTAACCCTCTATCCTTCTTTATTCTACAGCTCCCCATCTATTATGACTGAAGTATAGATCTATGGCAAGGAATGTACTGCAGAAGAACGCCTGTCATTCTCCAGGCACATAAACTGGTTGGCTCTGAGGAAGAGGTTGTGTCCTCGAAACGCGTTAGCAAGTTGGTCATCCAGGGTTCCATCGTATGGACTCAGATGTTGTTTGGATCATACACCTTGTTCAGTTTGACATGCCTGTGTTATTATGTCCATTGTGAGTATGATACCTATTTTTGTTTCTTTAATAAATTATTTTAGACGATAATGCACTAGGTCGGTGCACCCTTTTTCTGTTTCTACATAAACTCAAACCTCTGAGGTGCATTGTGTGAATGATGCCTTCAAGGAATGAAAGCGGTCCTAATATCAGATGCGTTTGTTCATGTTAAGTGCATACAAGCCATGTGTAAAGGCTGGCCATAGATGGCCGCTAGCTGATCGGAAAAAAAAAAAAAAAATATGAAGAGATTGTCTAATTCACACAAACACGTTGGATGGAGGAATCCTTCCTTCTGTGTTATATTCTGACAGCAAGGACTCCTCTGCTGTCAGAACACACACTGATCAGCGCTGCAGCTGCTGATTGAATGAAAAATTTCCAACACTTCCATTCAACAATATGATTTGTTAGAGCGATGCCTTTTGAGCAGGAATGGCCATAGATGGATACGTATTTCGATTCATCCATGGCCAGCTGAAATGTAACACTTCCACCTAGTTACAGTAGTTCATCTGTTTTTCTATCCAGAAAGATGGTATCATCAGGCATCATCCAGGCTCAGCATCTATTATAGCCATCTACAGAGATGCTGACTAACATATTGACACAACCTTGCAGACCTGGGGTCCTTGGTTTGAATCCCATCTGGGACAATATCTGACTGGAGTTTACATTTTCTCCCTGTGGGTTTCCTCCCGTAACTCCGGTTTCCTCCCACACTCCAAATACATGCTGGTAGATTAATCAGCTTCTCTCTAAACTGACCCTAGTGTATTTGTATGTGAGATAGGGACCTTAGAGTGTAAGCTCCTTGAGGGCAGGGACTGATGTGAATGTACAATAAAGCGCTGTGTAAATTGTCGTTGCTATATAAAAATGTGAGAAATAATAATGTTAATAATTCTTCCATGCAGTGGGACTGTGCTGGCACTGCATGGGTTAACTGCTCATTTTGTCTAGGGGTGAACCCAAAGGCTATCCTTTGATCCTTCAGAAAAACGCGCTCCCCTAAGTCCAATGGTGGGAACAGTCCATTCACAAGACCACTAGCATGCGGAGGGGGGGCAGAAGCGGCAGGGACCAGTCTTGCACTCGGAGGATTAGGTAAGTATATCTCTGTTCTGCAATCCCCTGGACAAAAACGAACAGGTAATCCATGCAGTACCGGCACAGCCTCACTTCATGAGAAAATACAAATTTTGCCCGCAGTTCAAGATTTAACAAGTTGTCGAGATTTTTTTTTTCTTGTTCATTTTTTTTTTTTACCAAAAGTGAACAAGTGTGGGGTCTGAACATTACCAGTATAGACCATAACGTTGGGGGCTACAACCTATTTCCCTCTGCACTTCTCCCAGCAGACTGCACATTGTTTAATTCCAGTTGTCTCCCATGCACCAAGGGTGCAGAAATGTCAGATCCATCCGCACAGGCCACAAATACTTTTGAAAGGGTGCCTCTTTTGGGGATCACTCTCAAACAACCTCCTAATGCTGGAGGTGTATGGGACCCTATATGCGCATAGCCTCGGGCCCCGCAGCCATATGGAAACACCATCCCGCATTTCTAGTATAGAGGGCTAATAGTCTTAGAAGGCAGGTGGTAGCCGTGTTTTATGTTATGTAAAAAACTGAAAAAAAAAAAACTATTAATAAATTATACATTTCCACTAAAGACATTACACGTTATTTTTTTTTTTTTATTTGTGTTTATTTACTAAAACATACCAAGAATATATACATTTTTATTTAGCCTATTTGTCCTCTTCGGCAATATTAAATACAAACCGCTTGCAAGACGCACACAAAAATACAACTGCTGTACATCAAAGAGTAACAAGTCACCAAATCAAAAACTTTAACACTCTGCAAATATATTCTGTATATTCCAAATATACGCAGTAGAAAAATGACAATTATATATCTCTGTACCTTTCAGCTTCGTACAAATTGAATATGTTGAAGTTATAAGGACTAGTGCATTACTACGGATACCCAACTTGACATTTTAGACTTTAAGGGGTTTATTTACTAAAGCTGGAGAGTGCAAAATCAGACTCCCTTCTGCATAGAAACCAATCAGCTTCTAACCTCAGCTTGTTCAATGAAGCTTTGGCAATGAAACCTGGAAGCTGATTGGTTTCTATGCAGAAGTGAGTCAGATTTTGCACTCTCCAGCTTTAGTAAATAAACCCCTAAGGGTCAGTTCACTCCTGAAGGCAATCTGGTACAAAGCAAAAATACCTGTGTGAGAAGCAGCAGGTAGAATGGCCTTTCTCTGGCACACAGCTTGTATACTGTTTGCAGACAGTAAAGCCTCGTGCACACTGCTGCCTGGGGTTGCAAGACATAACATATGGGTGTAAGGCATACAATTCGAGTCACAGCTGCTATTTACAGCCACCAGTAAACAGCAATGGCTATTTGTGGATATACGCCGGTATTTGTATAAACACATGCAGGGGTTTGGATGTACGACGTTGGACGCAGACTGTCCATATGCACGCATGCGTTGATGCAAGTACTATTTTATACTCACGTACAGCCATTACTTTCTATGGGCAGCTGTATAAAGCGCTTGTGGCCTCTTGGCAGGAAATGCATGCAAATTTTACGTCATACGTTGTTGGGTGCATGAGGCCAAAACCTAAACCTATCTCACTTAATTGCAAAGGGCATGCTTGGAATTATTATGCAGTCTAAGCATCAGAGAATGGCTGCTTCCATCTGAAGATTCTCACATATTGCTTTATGACAGATGCCCTTTACCTGATACTTCTGTGATGTACAGATATGGTTGGGCTGGATCACCTAATGGTTTAAATGTCCTTTTATGAAACAGAGATCAGTGGGCGATCCTGAGGATTGTTGCTGATCTCCAGTCATTAGGAAACAGAGATGATCAGAGAACATGTTCTCCTCTGATCATCTGAGCACACAGACTGCCAGTGTATGAAGGAGCGATGTGAGCCCTTCACTGGCGATCTGTGTTCCCCAGGGGCGGACTGACAACTCATGGGGCCCCCGGGCAATAGGGGATCATGGAGCCCGTGTCCTTGCCCACACTCAAACCAAACCCAAAAAAGCCTATGAAAGGTACCATGGACATCTCATGGGGCCCCCTACTGACGGCGGTGCCCGAGTTCCCCAATGGTCAGTCCGCCCCTGGTGTTCCCCCTACAGATTCTCCAGCCCAGAGGTGGAGAATCGGGGGAACTGCAAACGAATCAGCAATAATTTACTGATACTTAGTAAACGGCGTTTGACTGATCTCTTACTGTAATCTCTTAACATTATAGTAACAACAGCCGTTTTCCAGCGTTCAAAGCGTTTGTAGATCTCTTCTTCCTTCATTCGGAGAAGCGATTTACACCGCTTCATAAAAAGGCATTCAACGGAGAACTGTCTCCTCTGAGGATGTCGGAGAATTGAGCAGCGGTCATTTACCGCTGCATGATAAAAGGACACCTCATTGTATATCTCAGAGACCCAGACACAGAGATCTCTCCTAACTACTTCCACCTTCTGAAGCCAAAGGAGTCTAGCTCTCTCGAGTGGGATCATTTATGTACAATACATAAATGTAGAAAAATGATTGAACTTCCATTTTTGGTGGGCAGAGCCATAAAATCTGTGCAAAGAATTGCCCTTGGAGTCTCAGAGAAACATAAGAAGTCAGATCTTCCATCAGTATCCACCAGTAACTGATAATGATTTTGAGTGGAGTGACCCTTTAAAAGGAATGCCTGTACTGCGGAAGCATAGAGGCTGCCATTGCTGATCTCCGATCACCACTGCAAATACAAAATTTAAAAATGCTAAGATTCTAGATCGGTTTGCTTGTTCTGTGTCAGCATCTCAGACAAAACTGTAGGCAGAGACAGCCAAGCAATTAGCATTTTTACCCGGAGGCCAGCAGTGGCAGGATAGGTATCTTTCTCTGTGGAAGCATTCTTTAACTTAAAAAGATCCAAAACTGAAAACTTAAGACGGGTCGGTGGCACAGAGGCCCATTCAAGCAACTGTCCATGCAGTATTCTGCTAAAATACACATTAAATATCAAATATATATTAATTTTTCACACAGAGCACAGCCATATATAAATAAGCATTCTATCACACAGAGACTGGCAGCTCTATGAATTGTAAGAGATGACACGTTCTGACATGGCAGGAACCTGAATATTCATAGCAGTGAAAGTATTATTGTTGACTTACAGTATATCTACAGCAGAAATCAGGTCCACTTATGACCATCACAGGCCATGTTGACACGACCCAACAAGCATCTATTGTATCCTGATATC